CAAACAAACAAACAAACAAACAAACAAACAAACAAACAAACAAACAAACAAACAAACAAACAAACAAACAAACAAACAAACAAACAAACAAACAAACAAACAAACAAACAAACAAAGACAAATTTTACTGCTAATTAATTCTGCAATTAGAATTTTGCGCGCGGGTTTTGTCGCGAAACACCTGGGTCAAAGGAATCCAAGATGGCGGCTCCAAAACATATCCATTCTGAAGATATCGTTCGTTTTTTGAAAACTAAAGACGGTTCAAGTAAAATTGGTCTTGTTTTAAGGAGCGGAGATAATATTTCTGACTCTGAAGAAAGTTCTTTGTCGTCCGAGGAAGATGTTAAAGTTAAAAATGGCGAGATATTGGTGTGCTGGTTCCCCAGTGGAAACGAAGAAGTTGTACGTGAATCCAAGGTTTGTCATGTCTTGTTTGTCTTGTGTTTGTATTTTCGTTAAGACGTTTAATACTTGACGAATTAGTTAAATCGTACAAATCTTTGTACAAAGTTGTTTGTATTGCAATAATTGCATTAAGCCATTTGTCCATTAATAACAATAACGACAGCAGGTTGTTGAATTCATATATTGCCCATTTCAATAGACCTCTTCACGTGTGGGTTTCCTCCTGTAGTAACACTGGTTCAATAAGCGATTATCCTTACTGGACCTCTAGGGAGAACAGTTTAGAACTGATAGAGCTATCCAGTATGTTTAGTTTAGATTTCCTCCTGTAGTATAAACACTGGTTCAATAAGAGATGATCCTTACTGGACCTCTAGGAAGAACAGTTTAGAACTGATAGAGCTATCCAGTATAAAGTTAGTTTAGTTTAGGTTTCCTCCTGTAGTAACACTTGATCAATAAGAGATGATCTTTACTGGACCTCTAGGAAGAACAGTTAGAACTAATAGAGCTATCCGGTATAAATAAAGTTAGTTTAGTTTAGGTTTCCTCCTGTAGTATAAACACTGGTTCAATAAGAGATGATCCTTACTGGACCTCTAGGAAGAACAGTTTAGAACTGATAGAGCTATCCAGTATAAAGTTAGTTTAGTTTAGGTTTCCTCCTGTAGTAACACTTGATCAATAAGAGATGATCTTTACTGGACCTCTAGGAAGAACAGTTAGAACTAATAGAGCTATCCGGTATAAATAAAGTTAGTTTAGTTTAGGTTTCCTCCTGTAGTATAAACACTGGTTCAATAAGAGATGATCCTTACTGGACCTCTAGGAAGAACAGTTTAGAACTGATAGAGCTATCCAGTATAAAGTTAGTTTAGTTTAGGTTTCCTCCTGTAGTAACACTTGATCAATAAGAGATGATCTTTACTGGACCTCTAGGAAGAACAGTTAGAACTAATAGAGCTATCCGGTATAAATAAAGTTAGTTTAGTTTAGGTTTCCTCCTGTAGTATAAACACTGGTTCAATAAGAGATGATCCTTACTGGACCTCTAGGAAGAACAGTTTAGAACTGATAGAGCTATCCAGTATAAAGTTAGTTTAGTTTAGGTTTCCTCCTGTAGTAACACT